AGTGTTACAGAGATAAAGTCCTGCAGGACGTTTGTTGCCATGTAATCAATGCAAAAGTTTTTCTGTGACTGAAACAACACACTCGAACTCTTCTTTACTCACAGCGACCTCATTTATGGACAGTGGATGAATGAGTAAGACATAATATTATAGTTTTTACAGAGATGGTGTTCCTATGTGACCGTTCAAACGCACCTTGCTTTTCTATGTCTAAGAGCAACGCTGCCACCTATTGATCACGAGTAAAAATGCATCTGTGGTGCACTAAGGTCAAGTGGTGCTGGAAAGCTTAGGCTTGATTTCTTCTTCTCCTCTTCAGTCTAACACAAGCTAAACGACAGAGCACACAGCTCTCTGCTCCACAGAGCGAGTCTTGTGATCAACAATAAAACTCTGCAGTGCACAAAACAAGAATCTAATCTGCAACTACACATGTAACAAATTCTATTTAATAATTATGTAAATATAATCAGAACAAAATTGAAATCATTTGACTTGTACTCTTATCAAAGACGCTGGAATTATACTGTCACGTGTGAGCATGTCTAAAGATGTTTGCTGGTCTATTTTTGCTTTTAAAAAATAAGATGGTTGTTATGGTTGCTACCCTCACCCCCTATGCAGCAGACAAAGGTAAGCACTCTGTAAAGCAGCCTGTAGGAAGTAGCCCAGTTCAATATCACTGGGTGAGTGAAGTAAAATGGTTTTGGCTGACTTGATGTGGGGCGTTGTTACAACCTGAAAGCACAGAGATAAAACAGACAAGATTATTAACCCCCTATGAAATTTAAAGTTTCTGTCAAAAGGTTATTACAACAACTCGGTAAACAGTAAAATGGAGTAAAATCCAAACACAAACCAAACACAGCCATAACAGGGTCACACACGCTCATGCTCTCACACGGGCATAAAAAGCCCACCTTATCGAGCTCCTGCAGGTAGGACAGAGCTGCGTCACAGGCCCTGAGGTAACAGGACAGGGACTCCTCCTCTCTCTCAGAAAGACGAACACGGGACACGGCAGACAGCGTCTGGTGATCCAGAGACAGACCTGAAACGCATGGAGAGAGACCGTGGCGTTTTTACGAGCACCTGCTCTCAGCGACTAACTAAGCAAACAAACTAACAAAAGCTACCATTAAAAATGTAACTGCTTTAGTTTTCAGCTGGTGACTGGAAGAGGTCAGTTTACCTGATAAAATCATTAGTATTACTAATAACAACATTTCAAACAGGGTTTTTC